CTCCTATTTGTCGTCATAGGCGTGGTAGAATAATTTTCCAGATATCTGGTTGGATAGGTGTTGAATCATTCCTATTACATGTATTTGCAGTTGATTCGATAAACAAAGCTACTGTTATCAATCTCTCTCTACACCCTGTGACATTAGATTTTAAAACTGTCATCCTATCCCATCCTATTGTATGGTTGTGTGTAACTGCATGTAGTGATACAATTGAACTATTCTGTAGATTTCTTATCTTATTTGGATCAACTAATCTAGATTTTGCTAAGTTTTTATGTTCGGCTAGTCTGACTGACTGCTCCTGTTCTACTGGTTTGACCTATGTATTTGACCTGACAATCATTGCAGGCAGGGTATTAGATAAACTAAATTGTTTTGTTTTAAAGACTCTACAGGATCCTTTAACCGACAAAGCTTGTTTCTAATTGAGTTTGTGGGTTTGAATGCCATTTTTATTCTTGCCTTGTTAAGAATTCTGAGTAAGGCCTCCGAGGTTCCTTCCTTGTATGGAATAGTTCAGCTATAGCACTACATGCAGTTACACACAACCATACAATAGGATGGGATAGGATGACAGTTTTAAAATCTAATGTCACAGGGTGAATGGAGGGAGAGATACCCTGCAATGATTGTCAGGTCAAATACATAGGTCAAAGTAGTATAACAGGGGCAATCAGACTAGCCAAGCATAAAAACCTAGCAAAATCTAGATTGGTCGACCCGAATAAGATAAGAAATCTAGAGAATAGTTCAGCTATAGCACTACATGCAGTTACACACAACCACACAATAGGATGGGATAGGATGACAGTTTTAAAATCTAATGTCACAGGGTATAGGGAGAGATTGATAACAGAAGCTTTGTTTATCGAATCAACTACAAATACATGTAATAGGAATGATTCATCACCTGTCCCCGATATCTGGAAAATTCTACTACCCAAACGACAAATAGGCGAGAACAAAGAAAACTATAAAACTCAAGTGTCAAAGTCGTGTGATTACAATTGGTATGATGATGAACAATCGATTTTGTTCGGAACGTCATCCAGTAAATAATACTGTTTCACTGTGTGATATATCTAATAAACAAACTAATGTGGAATTACTTACTACCACAGTGCCCAAGTTTTTCACATATATTAAGGTTATTGCAGACTTTTATCCACAGTTACCTTTGGTGACTGTATCCTGAAGGTCACATTGCCGGCCAGAAAGCATTAGCAACAAGAAACTCTGGTAACAAACCATCCAAGAGTCGATGGCTAAGAAATATGTAGGAGAAAAACAGAGGTAGATCGAGCATACATTGAGGAGTCTGTCGAATGACATCGCGCGCAATGCAGGCCATTGCTCGTGCGGAATCCTAATGGGGAACGACGAGTGGGTCGTCGGTATGTGGAGGAGATGAGAGAATATGGCCAATCGTGGACCCAGCTAAAGAGGACAGAAGAAAATAAAACGAACTGGAGATGTGTTGTTGAAACCGTAAGTTCCACTCGGAACCCAAGGGAATAATAATAGTGCCACAGAACTTTTATCATTTTCCTACCGTTAAACATATTTATAATTGAAAATGATTAGACAAAAAGGAAATTTTCTTCTTTATGATGTCTGCCTTTGTTTATAATCCAACATGACACTTTTCATTTATTAAAGAATTGCAAGAACTGAAGTTTTTCATTTGTGGAATCAATTAGGAATACATGCAGAAAGAATGTTTCAACACCCGTTATAGACATCTGGAAACTTCCAACCGCACTTAACTTACCGAACATTCAAACACCTCCCTCAATGGGATATAGACACAGGTCCTCCGTCCCTAAGGCTGCCACTTGTCTGAAACGAAGGAAAGCAGCAGGACCTGATAGAATGACTCCAGAGGTATTTAATTATGGTGGAAACAGTTCACTGTCTGCGTTAACTAAGGTACTAGGCAACGTCTGAGAGTCAGAGGTAGTCCCGTCGGGTTGGTGTAAGTCATTGATTATTTCGATAACACAATAAGAAGACGTAGTTTATCTGAACCGTGTAATGTATTGGCGCAACACATTTCGGACATTCTGATCACACACGTACTAGTCATACACACAACAAATGAAATCATCAGACACAATTGAACCCGGAAATAGATGTCCAACATCATCTATAGCCAAGCATATCATAGAGACGGGTCATAAGGTTGATTTCAACTATGCCTTTAAGCCGATATATAAAACAAGGTTGGGCCACATACTTAAATTCATTGAAGCCTTAGCCATAAAAGGACTTAAACCTGTCTTATGTGTCCAAAAATTATTTGTTATCACCTTAAACCTGCCTTGGTAATCCAATTTAGAACCAAGGACCAATTTACTTCCTAATATTTTCAACCCCTTCCTTGCCTTGTTTTTTTCTCCTTTTATCTTTCTTACCCACACCTTTTGTGTCTCCCTACCCACTATTTGTGACCTTGACCTGTATTGTAATTATTCATGCCTTCTTGCATTATATAAAAACTGTGTATGACAAGTACGTGTGTGATCAGAATGTCCGAAATATGTTGCGCCAATACATTACACGTTTCAGATAAACTACGTCTTCTTATTGTGTTGTCGAAATTCATAAAGGGAACTAATTGCTTTAAATCATTGATTATTCCCATATACGAAAAGGGAGACAAATTTCACTGTGATAACCACAGGGGAATTAGCTTTACCAATATGGTATCTAAAGTTCTACGCTCAATAATAATGCGTAGACTAAGTGGTGCTCGGGAGGCACAAACACGAGAGAACCAGGCAGGGTTTAGACCAGGTAGAGGGTGTATTGATCATATCTTCACCCTTCGACAGATTCTAGAACATAGATATTCCTACCGGCGTCCGACAATCATTATATTTCTTGACCTAAAGGAGGCATTCGATTCTGTCGACCGAGAGATACTCTGGAGATGTTTGGCTGTAAAGAGAATGCCGAGAAAATATATTGCACTGATCAAGGCACTCTACTTGAACTCATCCACGGATTAACTTGTCACCATCATGGAACAATCTCGTTGACTTGGAATATATAGATGATATAGTCCTTCTAGGTGAGGTGAAGACGCTGACAAAATAGAGCAGAGTCTTCTGAACACCTTGAGCTGCAATTTACGAATGTTTGGCATGCTATTCGCTACCGCCAAATGTAAGATCGTGTTACAGGACTAGATTACACTGACTCTTAGCATGGAAATAGGGATGAAGTGGTTGGCGGGGTGTGTTGACCACTTCCCTTATTTGGGAAGCTGCATCAGCCAGTGCCAAAGGGTTGATCGCCGACAACATCTCACCACGGATACAGAAGGCTCGTTTCGCATATGCCAGTTCACGTCGTCAATGGCGTACGTGTCTGCGTTCTATCTCCTGTGTTAAGTGATATAATAAGGTGAGTAATATTGAGGTTAGGCGTCGACTCCTAGGTAAGAAAGGGAAATCATTAGGCGAGGCTGTGAAATTACATCGATTGAGATGGTTAGGACATGTGTTACGTATGTCTAGTCATCGCCTTCCTCGATGGGCAGTGTTAACTGACAAAGGGTCAGGCTGGAAAAGAGGTAGAGGCGGTCGAACCAAAACATGGCACCAGTCAACGAAATCCACAACAGTTAGTTTAAGCCACGTAGGAAGGTGTAGACTTCCTGGTTGGGGTCCTCAGGACGGAAACAATTGGTGACATGGCTCAAAATCGTTCTCAGTGGCGCAGATGCATCCACTCCTTGTGACTTATAATACCCAAAGAAACTATCGTTATTACTGTTCCTTTTGTCTCATATCCTTGTCTACTGTCAATATTTTGTGTTTCTTTTTACTTTCTTCTCTTGCTTTGTGGGCTGAGTGAAGTGTGGCGACTTGAACTGCTGCACATCGGTGCAAATTTCTATGTTGAAAACAGACAGACAGGAAAATCCTAGTAGCTTTACGACAAATAGGAAGGAAGAATGAGAACTGTACACATCCACTATTGAAGTTACGCGGTTACAAATGATAAAATCATGATTTTTTCCTCATTTAAATTGAGCTCTATTATTAGGATTGCTTATTTGAACCTAGCCACCCGGATTGGATCTTTTATGTACCACACTATAAGCCACAATTATTGCACGAGGACTGATGACAGTGCTACCGTGTTGACCATGCTGAACTAAGTGGACCAGAATTCAAACCAAGGGTTAATTAGTTGAAAGCTAAGTAAGTTTTTAAGCCGATGAACCACATTTGCACTATTTCTAAAGTTACACTCCCCGCCTGATGTAGATTTCATCACGAACCAACATACATAAGAGAAAAAAGGGGCACAAGATGCTCAGCGAAGATACCTATTCGACAACTTCTGTGCAATCACATTGTTATACAACAGTTCACATAGTTACAATTATTATATAACTTACATAGCAACGAAGGAAGAGTAAAGGGAATAATGAATTTCAACTTCACATGAAAGTTTAATGGTGTGAATATAGATCGATTCTATGTAATCTTGTTTCTATGCCTCTTGTGAAATAGATTCACATCTTCAAACTATCACAGCTAGTTGAAAATTTCCATCTCCTTTAATCTCCCTTCGTTACCATGTTGAATTAAATAGTAATTGTAACTATGTGACCTTTCGCATAAAAATGCGACTGTACAGCTTTTGAGGATGAAATTAGTCAAAGAACAAATATCTTTGCTAGGCCAGGTATTCTTCTCTTCCTAATGTCCAGATGGCTCATTAAAAAACCAAAGAGCATAAGGTAGATATTTCGTCCCTCCTGACTTTGGGGGAGAGAGTGTAGCGTGTGTTTGTGCGGGGGGGGGGGGAAGCTTCAAAGATTGAACCCAAAACTAAGATTAATTAGCTAATTAGTTAGTTGAATAGAATAATAAAATCTCTTCAAATATCATTCCTCTTTGATAATTTCATAATGTGATTCCAAAACAAAGACCAAATAGATAGAAAAAAAGGAAACACAAAGGAAAAAGAAAACAACATACCTGTATGAGAACTTGTCTTACATGTTCTATATTATTATTATCGTCATCATCATCATCATTGTCATCAGGAGAATCTTCTACACCAACAGGACTATTTGTAGCATTACTGTATTGAACATCACAATGACTACCACTACCTTGATGATTAATCTCTATTGCGTTGGAAGTATGCATTGATATTATGCATTCTGTGGATGTGTTATTATGATAAAAATTATTATTGTGGTCACCATTAGAAGATGATGAATTGCTCCTTTCATTATTTATGCTGTTATTATTATCACCATCATTATTATTATAATTAACGCGTAGAGTATGTTGTAATTCTGATATTTCTGAGCATTCTGTAGTACTATTATTTATGGTTGAAACTCTTTGTTGTGACTTGCGAATTTCACTTGGAAGTTGGTCATTTTCAGCATTATTATCAATAGATCTATATATATGAATGTATATGGACACAAAAAAACAAAGAAAATAATTTTTAACTATATATGTATATATATATATATAATTACGCAACTGCTTATTACAGAATACTGAAATTCCAAGTTGGATTTCATTTACGCACTGACATTTCAGTTAATGCATCACTGAAAACCAGAGTATACTCGACAGCTGTATCGTCCTAGATTGTGATTCTTCAGGAGTACACATCAATGTCCACACCGGTGGCTGAACCCAAGACCACAAGGTTACATAAAGAGATGACTAACGATTCAACTATTAGGATAGAATCCAATAATCTATGGAAATAAATCTACTGGACAGTAGTGATTGGTTACAGTATTGAGTAGTCAGGATAAGTGTGATCCACAAAGTTTAATGGGTGTGTGAACAGATACTTTCGGATGGCATATACTGTTAGTGGCACACTATACACGGCGAATAGACAGATGTTCAAATAAATATGCACCATTGGATTCTGTCCCAGTGAGTGAATAGTCAACGCGCTTTCTTCATGACCTAAATCGTCTGGGTGTGATCCCCCCATTGAGATCATGGGCATGCACTGATGAGAAGTTCTAAACCATGGTTAAAAAGCTGCTATTCAGTACTTCCTGGTTTTCAGTGGTTCTCTAACTGATGTCACCACTTCATGATTTAACGTGAAATAAATAAGTGAACTTGACCCCCTTTTTTCGAAGATGACAATATTATCCTATAGTTAAGGACGAAAGTGTTGAAGCATAACCGATAATGGTCCTGTGGTGGGATGCTCACCAGCCACTATGGGGATCCAAGTTCGAATCCCGGTTGACACACAACTAGCAGCACCTCGCCTAGACTACTAGTTAGTAGTAAGTCAAGAAAAGAGGGAAGACTGGACATGAGGCTAGAAACCGTACCCCGTGTAAAGAAGCCCTATGTTCCTCTTGAAACGTAACAAATAAAAAAGCCACAATTCTATTAAAAAAACACAATCAATAGTAACTTCTGGGAAGTTGAGCACTTCTTATGAAAATCACAAGTTATAAATGAAAACACCGCATACCCGGAATAATTACTTATAATGTGATTTTCTTCATGTGTATCTATGTGTGCATGGCTCTGTAGATCACTTTCAATATCATTTGTGATAATTCCTTCAGTATTTCCTGCTTCTCCATTCTCTTCAATTGGTGTGGTTGTGGAGGAAACAGCACAATTCATCAGCGTATTCGATGAGCATTCATCTGATGACTGATAAGTTAAAGGGTTTTGACTAGTACAATTATCATTATCAGTTTGACCGGAATTAGGAGGAAAGTTAGCTGATTGATGAATAAATGCTGATATTGTTCCCATAACTGACTCTTTCCAAGATTTTAATTCACAAACCTGAAATAATAATAATATGCATCATCAGTAGGTATATAGACAAATGATTACAGTATTAGAGATATAAAGATAAAATTTAAATCTAATTGCCTATAACAGATTTCTTTTCAGATTCCAGAGTAAAGGCCAAACCGACACACAGATATTTACTGTATGAGGACTGACAATATAACTCAATGGCTCACCAGGCTAGAGTAGGCGGAGCGGGATTTGAAACAGTTGGTTAGAAATCGAGTGATTAAGCTGACTGCCTGAGTGAGTTTCAACATAGAACTTTGCAGCACAGAAGTGCACCAGTTTCAGTCGCCAAACTCCACGTAGCACACAAAAGCATTATGTGCTAACACCTTAGGAGTTGATTACTTCAAGGAGTACCTGAAATAGAAGCTGAATTAGTTTTTCACGACGTCAATGGCTAGATGGGCAACTGATTGACGCGACCTGGTTGAAGTGGTTTTTAGAGCTGTGTTCATATATGAAGATCTTGCTGTCTGACATGAACCGCCGCAAAGAAAGTCGGGATGCGAAGTTTCTGGAAAAGACCTTTTCTAACTTCTTCCCCATCTCCAGAGCCGAGAAGGCACGATAGCTAGCTCACTGGTCACCCGAGGGAAATACCTTACTGCTGTTGCATCCCTATTCGCCAGTAGTACAACTTCGCCCTCAAGCCACCCAACATATAGTATAAACGGCGTAATTGTGATTATAATTGCTTTCAGTTTAACCATCATCCAAAAAAACTTTCTGAGATCGTAGGGACATTTATTTAAACCCAGTGTAGCTAGTTGGGTTATTGGGATACGCAGTCCCGACCACTACGTCGAGGTAGCAGCTTAAGACGGTGGACAAAATTTCTAGCACAAGAATGCAATAATATCACATTGAAGATGATGCAGTGCATATTTATTTGTGCAAATAAACACACAAAACAAAACAAAGTTAGAGAGGCGGAGTTAAACCATCGTGGTTAAAATCTACGTGACTCTGACCAACCAATCAGGATTCAGATACGAAAAAAGTGTAATAAAAGAACATCGCAAACATGATATTACACTAGATAATTGTCTCTGAAGTCTTGAACAAATGTATTACAGTTACTCCAAGAATAATCTGCAGAGAAACTGTACTATGCGCGATAGATGTATTCATCCAGGTGACTGCAGATCATCGTACCTCAAGATCCATTGACATTCCTGACACTGTTCTTGAACCTACCCCTACGCCTGACTAATGCTAAAAACCTTAACCATAACCCTACCTAACAGTATAGATTTGCCGAAAAAAGTACCTAAGGAGTGAGTAGAATACTATACCTATCCTCACCAAATCCATAAACACAGGTATGATTTGATATGGAATGACCTTGAGTGACGTTCCCTAAATGTCATTGGTTCTAGAGGGTCAACCTTAGACCATTTGAGAAAATGCGAATGCTTGAATAAATGAATTACTAACAACAGATATAAAGAAACAGATTTAATAAGTTAGATAGTAAAACAAGAAACGATGAGTGCACCCAAAACGGATTTTATATGATATTTTCTACAGCATTCATTCGGGAAGCTTATGATCCTTCTATATGGTTCAGAGACAAGGTACACGCTTCATCAAAAGATTTTCCAACAGGCTACTACAGAATCTGAAAAGTTGATATAAGAACAGAACTTGTGCACTGTGGTAGAGTATAATTCCACTATGGGTACAATTTATTTTGATAAAGTCTCACACTGTTATACAGTAATATTTACTGATGATGTTTCGAGCACAATTTATTGCCGCTCATAATCATATCAAGTTAAGTTACTCACACAACTTTCTAACTTCGTTTATATAATTCCATTATTTTTCATCGCTTGATTTGATTGGTAGTAGTTTTTTTCCACATCTCTGGTGTTAGTGATGAGTTGTTCCTATTGCACGTGTTGGGTGTAGACTCTATGAACAAAGATGCAATAATCAGCCTCTCTCTCCACTTATCTGTATTATTTGTTAGAATTTGAGCCCTTTACCACCCTATTGTGTGGTTGTATGTATCTACGTGTTAGTTCAACTGCTGGGTTTGTTAGACACTTAACTAAGCCTGCCCAGACAGATAGATAACGGATGAGATGAATTAAGGTCTAAATATCTATTAGAACGCGTTGGTTTTTTATAAATACTAGTGTGAAGTTTACCTTCTTTTGTTCATTTTATTTTACAGTCTAACATAGCTAATTCTCTTTGTTCATTTTCCGATTAAAATGTGAATTTTATTCCCTTTACTAGTGAGTTTATATGTATGTATCAAGAAGCTAAAGATATATTCTGTTTTTAACTCTGTGAAAATGTCATCCACATATCTCTACCATATTGTTGGAGCAGGATTAAATGTATTAAGAGCAATATTTTCCCAGCCGTCCATAAAGATATCTGCTATCCACAAAGGAATTCGGACAAGTAACGAAACAGCCATCAATCTATTTATTACTCAAAAAATATGCGGGAGGAAATGGAGATGGACTAGACATATATACGCTGAAGGGACGATCAAGTGACAGGACACACCTAGTCCTAGATTGGAACTCAAAAAGTTTGCAAACAAGTTGAGCGTCTGAGTGAGGAGTGGAGATCATGGGAAAAGAAGGAAAAGCTGGTGGACAGTCATGGGGTGAGTTGAAAGTTATGTCAGAGGATAAAACGGAATAGACATGTGCCTTTTAAGCCTAATGTTCCACTAAGAACTCACCCCCCAATATGGTTTGACTAAGTAAGTCATTTGCAGATATTTTTCACTGGCTGCAACACTTGACATTCAGACAATGAGTCCCGGCTTCAAATAACACTTTGCCTACTTTAACCTGGGGGAGTGAAGGGACAAGTGAATAGTATCATCCATCAGTCATCTCACACTAAGTGTGACTTCATAACCTGGGAATTGGTAGGGGGAGGATATGTTCCGGGTAATTCAGTTCAGTATTTACACGTGAATCAATCAATGTAACTTACTTCGTTTACCAGAGATAGCATACTTTTTGATTGTAGTTCAATGAGCATAGACTGCTCTTCTAGACATAAATCAAAGTATAAAAACATCTTCTCTAAAAACTGTTTTTGTTTACAACAATCTGAACAACATGGTTGTGTTGATGATGAAGATATCGACGGTATACAGTCGGTTAATGTACCAGCATCTTGTGTAACAGGTAGTGGTGCGCCATTATTAATAGTATTGGTCTCTCCATCAGAAATGGCTATATATGTATGTTTATATGAATTGAATAAGTAGAAAAATGCATTAGTGATAGATAATATTCAACATAAACTAATAGTGCACATACATAAGGAAATGAAAGAACCGCTTGCAATTTCATGAAGTTGGCAATAAGCCACACCTAATGTGTGTGTAATTACTGAAACCTCAGTAAGTGGGACATGGCTTGAACCCATAAATCAGTGCCTAGAAGTTGAACGTCTAGATCACAGGGCAACAGCTCCACTTTACTACCGATGATGAAATCGGTGAAATAATAGAACTATTAATTAATGTAGCCATTTAATTCTAACCGGTGGTCGAAGTCTATCGACCAGGTATCAAGTGTCACCAATAAACCGCACACAGTGTAACTCCAAAGTAATGCATATGTTGAGAGAAAGAGACCGATAAAGACTTTTATAAACTTTATTGCAACGGGTTACTGGTATTACATTTTGTTCTCATTGAATCAATCTGGGCAAGAGAGCATAATTTCATAGGCTTTTTTTCAGACGAAGTTAAATTCAAACGCTTTACCGAGATAAAACAAGTAAGATTGCTCACCATTAATACTTATTATTACTATTATCAACCAGCTTACTTGGCTAATAAGTGGCAAATTTTTTACGTAGTTCACATTATCATAGACCAACCGAAAATTAATCATTGTTACCTTGTTGCTAATTAATTACTTATTCTGAAGGATAAACACAATAAGTGGAGCAATATTTTATGAAGTTTTACAATACAACGGACTATGGTATTACACGGTTGAAGGCTATCGGATCCAAAAAGCTCGAGCTGCTTTCACTAACTTACACCGTCTCTGGCGTAGGTGTGACATCCGGCTGTCAACCAAGGGACGTGTATACTGCTCAGCAGTTCGCTCCCTCCTTCTCTATGGCGGTGAGACGTGGCCATTGAGAGCGGAAGACATGAAGAGATTGTCTGTTTTTGACCACAGATGTTTACGATCTCTTTCTCGCGTTAGGTGGTATAATAAGGTAAGTAATGTTGACGTTAGGCGTAGAGTGTTGGGCAAAGAGGGAAAATCAATCGACGAGGCTATAAAGTTACATAGATTGAGATGGCTAGGTCACGTGCTGCGCATGCCTAACCATCGCCTCCCCCTCCCGATGGGCTTTACTAGCTGATATAGGTGCAGGTTGGAAAAGAGTAAGTGGTGGCCAAACAAAAACATGGCATCAATCCATGAAATCCCTGACAGTTAAACTGAGTCAGTCAGGTAGGGAGGGAGATGCAGACTTCCGGGTTGGGGCCCTCGGGACTCTAAGAATCAATGACTGGAGACAATATGTGACATGGCTCAAAGTCGTTGTCAGTGGCGCAGATGTATTCAGTCTCTGTAATCTTTCATATTCCTTTCTACCATTACTCATTCTGTTTCACTCTTATACTTGTCAAAACTCTATTGATTCTCTCCACTCATCTTCTTGTCTACCTTTGTGTGCTATTTGGAAGGTGGCAACTGGAACTGCTGCACTTCGGTACCAAGTTCTATGTTGAATCCAGACAGAGACAGATCGACAGAAAGCCTTGAGCCCACAATACGTCTAAAATCAATTCACAGGGCACTGCAATGCCTAGTCACCTAAGTTTGCTACCACATTTGGATAGCACTGAAGACTAAGTGCAATATTGATTACTCACTACCATCCAACCAATGTATCCATTATAGTTCTAGAGGAGGTGGAGAAATTAGTTTCCTTGAGGTTGCATATGCACTGTCCTGAGGAATGCCAGGAAGCACAAAAACTTGGTCCAGGGCATCTAAGTAACTGACTCCAAGCAATCAAAGTACATCGTGAGAGTGATTCATTTAGCCAGATGACTACTATATCGCAAACCTTTAACTGATAGAATTCAGTATCGACATCAATACACACATGACATTAGTTACTTTGTAGTGATCTAATATTTCTAGCCTTTTGATAATAAAATAGTTTTAATTAACACACTTACGAGTTACTGAATCACACAATTCAGGAGGAATGTTATTATGTCCATTAGGCAGTCTTAGATCATGATTTATTTGTGTCAATTTTTCAGATTTCCTGTAAAAGAAACGGATTTTGAGTGAATCTTAAAACCTTAAGTGAAATATTAGATGCTAATAATAATAATAATAATAATAATAAACTCAGTCTGTTAATTATATACATAAAATTAAAAATCATAATTCGAAAACATGAATCACAGAACGCCAAACCAATGACTGAATAAGGCGTTCGCTATGGGTCACGAAATCGATGTCCGATGAGAGCATGGATTTGTGATGCTAAGCTAAAATAGGCTATCCAATAACTCCTTAGGTTCTCAGTTAATCAGAATTTAATTACCAGATAGGCAGCTATGAGCCCCACTTGTTTTTGAATGCCTTATGCTACTGCAGTGGTGTGATACAGACAATGTGTTCCAATGGAATATTATTCTCACATATTCCCACAGTTCAATACTGTGTTAGCAGCAGAATACTATGCATTTGAACATTATAATTCATGTCGTTTAATGTAAGCCAAAATCACACGCTCAATGATTGGGTAGAGAATATAAAACTGCATACATATAAATAGCGGTTCGATCACTTGAAAATATACCTTGGCTCCCGTGTCTTGCCTTCTGCTGTTACAATACTATCTAGGTGCATTCAGGTTGAACAAGGAGGAGAGCGATTCGAACCTGCAGCCTATAAATCAAAAGTGCTTAAGCCAACGAGTCATATCCTTGTTAAATTCTAAAAGCAGTGATTAAATCTCTAGACTATATGACTGATATTAGTGAACCTATAGAGTTTAATAACAAACTAACGGAAGCGAAACTAAGAAACCCACATAAGCGTAATGCGATGGGTGTACAGTTATCCTTGTTTCCCCCTTCCTTTGCGGAGACATGCTACATTGGCTCAGACACTCAACTTGCTGCCAATAGGTCCCGATTTCGTATATCTCTTCATGCTCATCAACCTGTACCTGTATGCGGCAATGTAGTATCGATGGCCCGGTATCACCGGATAACTGGATTCTAACAACACAACAACACTAGGAACATCATATTCACTTAAAATACAATAATCATAAGACATGTAATTATTTCAACTGTGATATCTTTCACCTGTGTTTGCATCACCATATAAAAGCATTGCTAATGGATACACCAAACAATTAAAGCTATCAGTTTGTTTCATTGGTTAGGATTAGAGCATTTATACCGATCGGTCATCGGACGACAATCTGGATGTAGCTGTGTAGTCAGTCATGTGTGTGTGTGTATGTATGTGTGCTTGAATCGGAATATATCGTTCAAACACATGATGCAATGTAGTCACCAGGTGAAGCGTTACATAACAACATTACATTTTAGTGTAATTTCATACTTTTGGTCACAGATGTTATATTAGTCACATTGAACAGAAAGTGATGGCTGACCTAAGTTTTGTGCTTGCTAATATTCAAGCAAGACATATGGACTATTCTAAGTTTCCAGGCCGTAGGTGTTACGAACTTCCTGAAAAAATTTGAGCGCCGAGTCAGATTGATTCATTATAAATTATTTAAATTAATCCCAGCGTGTTAAGAAAATCAAAACAAGATTTTTCTGAACGTTTCGCTGTGTAAGCCACAGCTTCTTCAGCAGATTTATTCGGATTTTTATTAATCATCAAAATATATAGTCAAAAATTTAACATACATTAAAGTCAGTTTATTTGAATGTCATTTGTCCATGGTCATTTTTACCAATAGAAAATATGTAAGCAGTCATCATATATATTTGTAATGACTAATGTCAAGTTGTTATCGTGTTCACACTTCTATAGGTAATTTGTACAGATTTGTTTTGTATGAGTGTGTGTATGTATGTCATTTGTCATATGGAAAATACGTGAATTCATGTATGATAAACATGATCCTATATGTTTTAAAAGGTCATGGAGGCTCATAGAGTGTCTATTGATTTTTTTATCTGTCTTGCTTCATAAGAGTTTGCCATATAGGTGATAAGTCTATCCCATCTTTCCTATTCACTGCATTCGATGTGGTTAAGATGTGCAAGGCTTCAGAAGTCAATCTTTCTTTATGTGAATGAAATCCTCTTCCAAGAATTTCGACATTGTCGAAATCAATCTTATGTCCGCTGTCTATAGCATGCATTGCTATAGCCGATCTTTTTCTAGACTTTTTAGTTCTACTTCATTTCTAGGTGGACGTTTCGTGTATAGTCTATGTTCATTCACTCTGACCTTCACCTGCCTACTGCTCTCCCTTATATAGCATGCATCACATTCGGAACACTTTATCTTGTAGACACAATTACTTTGTGATATTCTGGGAAATATATCTTTGAAATGCACCAACGCTTTCTCCAGAGAATTAGAAGGTTTGACATAGACTTTAATATTATATGAGGCAAACAGTCATTGAAGTTGTTCAGCTGTGTCCTTTCGGTATGGGATGGCTATCGTGGATAGCCAGGATTTTTCAATTTGTATATATGCAATTATATATTATATGCAATGGAATAATATGGAAGCATATTTGTTACACTGACTGCCTGAGTTTCAGCATAGTACCTTGAACAAAAGTGTACTAGTTTACGTTGCCACACTCCGCGTACAATGTAAATGTAAACGTGAGAGAGAAAAAATAAATTCAAAATAACTGTTTTGAGTAGAAATTTATGCGAGAAAAAGTGGCAGCATGCAAAAACAACAAGATTTAATGGATATGGAAAATCACAAAGAGTGAATGCATCTGCGCTATTAAGAATGATTTTGAGCCACACCACCACTAGACTAAAGCCATGGGTTATCAGAATCCCGAGGACCTCAGACAACCAGGCACTCTAAACCTCCTTAAGTGACGCATGCTACGTTTCGAAGGATCAACCATAACTCTTTTCCAAATTAATCCTTTGTCAGCTAACCTTGCTCGTCATTTGCAACACATGTCCTAGCCATCTCAATCTAAGTAGTTTCACAGCCTCATAAATTGATTAACCCTTCTTAGCTAATACTATGCCTAACCTAAATATTACTCATCATATTATAAAACTTAACTCGCGAGATGGGACGCAAACATCTGTGGACAAAGACAGCTCGCCTTTTCATGTCCAGCAAATTCAGTTGCCATGTCTCACAGCCGTCAAGGAGGACAAAGAGAACTTCTGAGCAGTACACACGTCAATGTTGATTACAACCAATTATTTTTTAAAAAGACCATTTGAAAATATTACAGATCAGGATGTCGAAGCCAGAATCAGAAAAGCAAGACACAGCTTCTGTACGCCGAAATCACGGTGCAAATCTACCGCACTCAGGGTAAGACACAAGATCTAAATTTTCGACACTAGTCAGTGATTCTATATGGTTCAGAAACTTGGTGTGTGTCACTATAAGCATTCTCAAAAGGCTGCCGGTTGCTTTCGTCAACAGCTGCCACTGCTCCATACTGAAGATCAGATGAACCGTAAGAAAGCACAAGCAAAAGGGGACTTTGATAGCGAACCAAAACAGTAAACTACAGCCTAACAAACGAGCAGAGATGGACTGAATATATGCTGAGAAGACCTTTCGGTGACATTGCACGCCAGATGTCGAGTGTAACCCGAGTAGGAATCGACGAGTTAAACATCCAAAAGTAACATAAAGAAGATCATGACAAGAAGAAAGGAAAGCTTTTGGGTAGTCGTTGAGCCAGCCGGAAGTGATGGGAGAAAAGCAATTGAAGTGGGAGTATGCTGCTGAAGCCCTATGCTTTATTCGGAACCCGAGGAAATAACGATACTAATCGTTGCGATTCATGTGTTGTTATATCTCAGTTGCCCAGCACGGGTCCCCTTCCCTGGACTACATTGACTCCTAGCTTTGAAAAAGGGAGTGAGGTGGTAGAGCGCGTTGACCACTTCACATATTTGGGAAGCTGCATCAGCCAGTACCAACGGGTTGATCGCTGACGAAATCTCAGCACGGATACAGAAGGCTTGTTTCGCGTATGCCAGTTTACGCCGTCTCTCGCGCAGATGTGATATTCGGCTATCGACCAAAGGGCGTGTGTACTGCCCAGCAGTTCGCTCCTTTATGGCTGTGAGAGAGACCTGGCCATTGAGAGTGGAGGAAATGAAAAGGCTAGCTAGCTGTCTTTGATCATAGGTGTCTCCATTTTAGCTCCCATGTTAAGTGGTGGTATAATAGGGTGAGCAATATTAAGGTTAGGCTTAGATCGAGTGCTAGGTGAGGAGTGGAAGTTACATCGATTGAGATGGTTAGGATATGTGTTATGCATGCTAGCCTAGCTATTGCCTTCCTCGACGGTCAATATTACCTGACATAGGATCAGGTTGGAAAAACAGCCAGTGGTGGTCAAACCAGAACATGGCTTCATCAGTTAATGATATCCACAACAGTTAGTTTAAGCCACGCAGGAAGATGTAGACTTCCTGGTTGGTGTCCTCGGGACGGTAAAAACCAATGAAGGCTGGAGATAATCGATGATATGGCTCAAAAACGTTCTTCATGGCTGGCGCAGATGCATCCACTCCTTGTGACTTGTAGTACCCAATGAAACTATATTATTTTTCGTTACTAGTATTCCTTTTGTCCCATATCCGTGTCTACTGTCTCTATTATGCATTTCTTCTTTTGCTTTGTGTGCTACATGGAGTGTGGCGACTTGAGCTGCTGCACATCGGTGCAAAGGTCTATGTCGTAAACAGACAGACATATCCAGCAATGAGAGAAAACTTACGTAGCGATGATATTATCATGTGAATTTTCATTCGTTTGATTTGTATTCAAACTTGAACATAATTCAGAAGACTTGAAATCTTTCCGAAGTATTGAACTTGAATACTGACAGCCAGCATTATCATCATAATTACTGTTCATCAATGGCTTTCCCATGTTGACATGACTACTCCCATTTTGGTGAGTTATATTACTTTCTTGAGGTTGAAGCTGTAAATCGTCTTCCAAGGGATGAATAAACTTTGTTGTTTGAACAGTTCCTTCCGTGAATACGTCTACTTCTTCTTCCTCTCCTCCATCATCACCATCATCATTATCGTCATCATCAACTATTAAATGGACACCGTCGATAAGGCTTTCTTTTAGGGGTTTTGAGGTTGCATTGGCCTTTGAATTATGCAAAGAATTTGTTGGTGAATGTGAACGATGAATAGTTCTAAGGAATAGAGGACAGTATCAACTTAAATATTGAAGGACAATTTAATGCCATAAATAGGGAATCAACAAACTGGATTAGTTATTCAAGTAAAGAGACAGAAATGAAATTGTCTTACTTCCAAAGAATAAATTTACTTCACACCACATCTATGACACGCTATATGTTATAAAGTTTCAATCCAGTGGGAATTGAATCCAAGAGTTTACAGTTATGCCTACATCTCGAAATAACACCTAGTTACTTTTAGTGGTCATTAGAGCGTAAAAAATATGATGATTCTGGTCTTTTTCTGTCTGTGCTGATTAAATTTCATCAGTCAAACTTGAGTCATGGCAGTTAAGCTAAGTGACTCGCAAATGTTGTACACAAAAGAATTGGATACTATACTCTTGATTAAATCACCTATAGCTAACTTCGTTAATGCACCAGGGTTTGATAGGTATTCAAAATCCACACGTTAATGGAGAAGTGTTGCGTTAAAACATGGAGTGCGCTATATTACATAGAAAGTTAATGGGATCACTTAGCTTCTTCTTGCTTTTTTTTCACCGGAAATTATGCTGAAACGACTCTTAGATTCACGTACTTTTCAGTGAAATAATTACATTGTAACATTAGTCTGCTCAATAAATTAGTCAGGATCTCTTGGCTCGTCCAACAATGCTAACTGACACGGGAGGAGGTTGGAGAAGAGTTAAGGGTGATTAAATCTAAACAAGTGCGTTGATGACACAGCGGTTAGGACGCTCGCCGACCATGTACACGGTCCGGGGTTCGGTCCCCGGCCAAAGCACTCCTCTACCTTGCTAAGCCAGAAACAAATAAAAAAGCTGGTAAAGAGGAAAGGTTGGACATGAGGCTAGCAACCACATCTTGTAAAAAAATACAGACACTTCAAGCCCCTAACTTGAAGCCCTACGTTCCACTGGGAACGTGAAGGAATAAAAAATTTTAAAAAAGGTATCAATCTATCAAATCTTTATACAATTAGTCAGCGTGTAGAAAACATCAAAACTTAAAGTTTTTTTTAGCCACGCAGGGAAATGTCGACTATTCAACTGAGGTCGTCAGGATATTAAGAACCAATTGTTGGAGACTGCTGGTGATATGGCTCAAAGTCGTTCACAATGATACTAATGTATTCACTCCTTGTGATCTTCTGTTTCTATTAAACTCCTACGTTTTCCCACTTAATAATTCCTTCTCCTGAAAATTTCTGCTTATCATAGTTCTTTTTCTCCACAACCGCGACCGAAACTAACAATCAACAACTGAATAGACTCATGGCATATTTTATTCTGATTAAACTAAGTCTCTTTCTATTTTTATGGTCAGCTAACATTGTTCGTTGAGAAAACGGATGGTTCAGAATGCGTAGCATATGTTCTAGCTCTCTCTCTCTCTATCGATGCAACATAACATAACGCTGTGTAAAGTGATATTGTATATGAAGTACGAAGAATCAAAAAAAACAAAACTAATATCCTTTCCATTGTTTGGACAATTCCAAAACAAAAGATAACAACTACAACCTTATTGCACAGTTAGTTAGAACTCAGTTACCGGGATCCAGACTATGTGCCACAGCATTATTGTGCGTGTGCTACTGATAAAATTTATTAATAAACAGTACATAAAGAGAAGTTTATCGGCATAAAAGTATCAAATAGCAGAGAGGTAGATTTGACATCAAAGACAGCAAATGATTCAGCATTGCGGAGAAACATGCGAGACGTGAAAGGAACACAAGATGAAGAATAGGAGAAGCACAACACGGAAGATCTGTGCAAATGGTAACTTGAAGTTAAGGTGCACATAACTTCTCCACATAGCGATAACAAATTCCAAATAAACATTCCTTTACTAAGTCTTTTATCGTCTACCACCACAATACTATTACCTCAGCTGTCCCCTAGACTGAAGTGCATTGAAGAGGGGTTCAATCCCGAGGGATCTATTGGTCAATAATACACCACTGCTCATTAATTAGGTGTGAAAACGCATATTTATATATACTAACAACCAACCAACGTCATTACAGAAATAATAACTCACTTATTTAACGGAATAAAATTCCTTGAAGATAATAATGTATCATTTGGTGATAATCTTGACGATTCACGTTTTTCTGTACTATACGGCTTTCCCACTATATTCTTTCCTGACAGCTTTTGTACTTTATTATCATCATTAGTATTCGTTCTATTTTTTGATAAATCTAATGGTAAATATACTGAATCAGATGAAAGTAAGTGATTAGGCGATGAATCCAGTTTACTATGACATGAATTACTTCCACATGTGAATAATTGATCTTCTGGAGTAGATTTAACAATTTTTTCAGATAAACAATTTGTATTTTTCACTGGTAAATGCGTTGAGGGCAATAACGATGATGGTGATATAGATGACAACGGTGTCAGAGTGTTTGAAAAATTACGCTGACTTTTATCCTTGTCATTATTATAATTATTACAGATGTTTACTACTTTGGGATGAATTGAAATTGTTGAGTCTGTAGAATTCATTGTGTTATTACATGCAGAATCTAATCCGTGACTGTATTTCCCTTGATGAACATGAATATTGCTGTTGTTGTCATTATTATTATTAGAAGTATGATTATTGCCGTTGTTTAATACAGCAGTATTTAATGATGTGATAGATTGAGAAAAGTGATTTTCTCGACTTCCAGTGGAAACATTTAACTAAAAGTAAAAGTTTTAAAAACAAATATTGATATATATAGCTGTTAGAACACGGATGAGAAAAATGTTATTTTTTCTAACAAAACAGTATCTATAATTCAATAGACGTTTGTAAATGTAAAGTGAGAATATGCAGACACTACTGCTTGAAGTGCATCGGTACTTGAGGCGTGGAATGCCCATCAGCCACACACACAGTCCCGGGGTTCGACTCCCGGCAATAAACCCGCAAGGGAGGGCAGGCTGGAAGTGAGACCGAAAATTCCATTCAGTAAAAAACGACACAAGAGCCACTGACACTTCAAAGGTTAAGGCTTGAAGCCCCATATTGCGCTCGGAAAGCAAAGGGATAAAAAGTAAGAACTACTGTTTGACATGAGTGCTTTCCAACTCTCCATATCTATCGGTAGTAATATACTATAATCTTATATCACTTGCTTTTTTCATTATCCTTTATCGTGTGAAGCGGATAACATACTGTGATCTCAAAAATTTCTTTGTTTCTAAAGGAAACTGTGGTGAGCTTTTACCTTGAACTGCATAATTTGCATATAACGAACCTGACACTACGTATTGCTAGTTGACACAACGAGTTAGCTGGAATTTGGATGCTTTAAACTGATTTAGCTGTCTGCATTGAGTTACACTGTTGGTGAGCTCCGCAGTGCTAACCGGCTACAGTGTTTAAATCACTTCAATCTGCTTAGCACAAGTGATTCCCTACTATTCAAATCAGTCAATTGTATAAACTATCATGTTATATTCCTTAAGGTTTACTTAAATTTAAACTAATAATCAAAAATGGCAAACAAACAAACAAATCTACACGAAGTAATGTTAAACTATGATCTCTTTTCACTGAATAGAATATAAAGAAATTCAGTATTATGACAGGTGATAATCGAAGGTGGTGAGATGAAAATCTGGCTCACGGTAGCGCATTCGAACCGACGAACGTCCTCGGAGTTCGACGCTCAACCAGTTGAGCTATAAGATTCAATTGTTAACCAAGTTGTCATTTCACTGCAACCATAACGTGCATTGCCCAACTGTCCATGCGAATGGTGGATACATTAGTTTCAGTTTAATATCAAAAAGCCAGCTGAGCAACTAAATTGTCTTTCAATCCTAATAATGTACTCAGTTAGGAGAGAAGCAAATTGTTAACTGATGATCAGATTATTTGAGATAGGACCTAGTGTGGCTGCGGATAGGCTGATTCCTGCCTTCTTAAAAAGGTTAGAATGTGGTGAGGTATTCATAGTCTTTAACAAGTTCTAATAACTGCCTTCGCGCGGCGAGGGTGTTCTCACGGAGGCGGAAGTGAATATTTTGCGCTTATAATCGGATTATTGGAGATGGATTTCCACAAAAGGAGCTGAAGAACCACGATTCCTAAAATACAATACACCTGGACTCCAAAACCCGAAAGGCCCAAACGGTTTACGAACCAATTTTAGATATCGGCAACCACGGTAACACACGTTCCAATGCCGTTGTGCTGCCTTGTTGATCAGACTTCAAGTCAAAGACTCGGAGATTGATCCCTTAAGACATGTACCTCCTTCGGTCTGGACATCTAGAGGCCAACTTATCCTTCGCGAAAATAATAAAACAATGATTAATGGGGAATTTTAGCTGGTAAGGTTTGTCACATGTCTGAGACTCAAAAGCAATACTTCAGTTAAGTGCTTTGAATATTCTCTCAAAGTGCAAGTTCGAAAAGCATGTACCACATGCCCCTATCCGGAAACCCTTTGACATGGACATCCGGCTTTGCTGTTTTCGGTGTCACACTGAGCGCTAGAGCTAAAGCTACACTGCTTGACTGAGTATCAATTAACAACCGTTTATATAAGATTAGAAAGTAATATCAAAGTTTAAGAACTCTGGTCAGAAGAGCTCTAACTCCGCCTATGCACCACCGAATTGCAGTCCTTATGAAGATAGGGATAAATTTTACCATCAATTAGGAGGGGACTTTTGAATCATCTGCGTACAACTGATATTGCAATGATACCTGGGAACTTGAATACACAAGTCTGGCGTTTAGGCTTAGAGAAGAGTCATTTAGGTGGTGTCAGTGGGGATTACATGATCGCAGGTTAAATAAAGGGGACCATCATCTGCAGCTTTGCGCAGATTGCAACCTACATGTAGCCAAAACCAAATTCCTGCAAAGCCATAGCCAGAGGGTTATATGGCGTCCACCTCTGCCACTGAAGCATGGACTCAGACAGATAACGTTACTATCAGCTAACGATGGTGTGGGTACGTACGTACAGGACTGCCACTCCTTCTGGAACGCATGTCTGAATTGTAATCATGCCTTACTGTGTGTCAGGTTCATCTTGCGATTTCGCGATGACCATAAACGTCATCCTCAACAGTTTGACGTAAGTACACTAGTAGCATTCTCTAACTCTGCAAAGTGTCACAATGATTGTTATGATGTAGCCGAGTGTGAATATTAATGCTAAATGACAATAATGAACGCTTTTCCTTTTCGATTATTCTCCGACTCGAACTAGTAAATTCCAGAAGACTAACACAACAGGGTCGGAAACGTATTTCCGAAACAAATGAGAGACAAAGTAACCAAGATTACAAAAGTATATGACATATATTGATTCAGTCACAAGACTTGAATAGTAGGCGTTAACAGGATGCTGGATTCTGATTGGTTGATGCTAATCATGTGACATGTGATTTGTTGTCTGACTGACAGACACTAATGAGATAAAATGTGAACACATCACTGAGCTAGAGTCATGCCTTGCTACTAGGCCCACAAACAGTACAGACGAATATTGGAAGCACTTACAAGATGACGTGAAAATGGCCAGTAAGGCTGCCTATGGCTGAAAAGAATATTCCGCTAAGAACCAGTATTTCCGCTAACTCTTTGAAACTTTTTGATGCCTGTCAGTACATTCCAGTGGATAGCGAGTATAACAGCATGCGCAAGGCTTTCACATTCGAGACCAAACTTTGCTTACTTAAGGATAGAAAGCCCTGGTGATCAGAAAGTGTGTGAGAGAGAGAGTTAGCAGCTGCATCTGGTAACAGTCTAAAGCTGTTCCAACTCATCCGAGCCACCAGCAGCAAGAAGTATGGTGTCAGCGAGACGGCGTGTGAGGCAGATTGACAATCTAAAGACACACCTGGGACTCTGTTTGGAGTACTCCGAGAAGCAGTTTAGGTGATCAGTAGAGCCAATACCCAACTTCATAAGCTACAGTTCCCCATATTCGGTTAACAATAGTTCACAAAGTGAAGTGGATATGTGAAAGGATCTTCAAGTATTCGAGCATAACAAGGCACCTGGTCCAGAGAACTTCTAAAGATGGCGGCGAGACTCTAGTCAAGCAACTTACTCGACTGTTCAGGAAAGTATGGGAAGATGAATACGTTCCATCAAAGTGGAGTGAAAAGATTGTGGTTTATATCTGTAAAATAAGCCTGAGTAATATGCATGAGACAATCATAAGGTTATTAGTCTGTTAGCCGTTGCGTCCAAAATATTATAAGCTGTCTTGCTTAGCAGATTGTGTAAAACGCATGAGGAACTGATTCGCGAAGAGCGAGATAGATTAAGCCCAGGCCGTGGATGCACTGGTCACGTGTTCATCTACCGTTAGAAACGAGAACACTTTCATACGTATTTCAGGCTAATGATAAGTGTATTTCTTGATATTGGGACTGCCTTCGATTCATTAAACAGAACTGCTCTCTGAAACCGTCTGTTATGGACAGGTGCTCCTGAGAAGTTTCGTTAAGAGCGAAAAAACAGATGTTTCATCTCCACTTCAGTGAGGGCACATACAAACAGCCATCATCCCAGTTCTCTACCAACAATGAGGTTAGAAAAGGTTATTCGATCTCCACATTCCTTTTCACCTTTACATGCCGGAGACAGTTCCGGCAAACGTTCGCGGTGGTGGTATATATCTACTGTCTGAAGAATTCTTGAGCACGACTATGAAGACGACATCGTGTACTGTGCAATAACATACAGGCTACCCAAATAGCATTTAATTATTGCGGAGTGCTCTTGCGAGATTTGCAGAGTATGTACCTGCACTCACCTTCGAAGGTGAATACCTTGAAGTTATCGATGAGTTTGGGTATCTAGGTGGTTGTGTGAGCGTTGGTGTGATGGGTGAGATCTTTAACTTGGGTTACCTCTGGCAGCGTCGCGACGTTAGGCTGGCTGCGAAAGGTAGGCTTTACAATGTTTCAGTGAGCGCAGTCTCCCCCTATCTCTGTTAAACCTGGTTGCTCTGAATTGGGGAAGTGTAGTGACTCTGTATTCAATTATCGCCGCCTTTGTAGAATTGCTTGAATCCAGTGAAATCACAACCTAATTCTGAGGTCAGGCAGCGTGTATTTGAACACAAAGAAATCGTCTTCCAAAAAATGTTGTTATTTGGAAGCACCGGCTTCGGAGACTTGAAAATGTGCTACGAATGTCATTCCAGTGGCTCTCATACCACTCCCTGTTCTCTAGCCCTAGGACTGGATAAAAAAAGCATATGACTGACTAGCTTATGTTGTGACAAAGTGGGATTAAGGAGATTTGTGTTAGACTAGCATCTGTTAGCACACCACAACTCTCTGGGTGAGGTCTGAGAGGTCATTCGAATTAGTGACCCAAGATGTCACCAGATATATCCGAGAATCGTAATCAATACCAACCCATACTGCAACTTCCTCCTTTTCACTCTTTCTGAAAGTAACATAAAGTGCTAAAGCATCCTTTGAATGATCCTTGATAAGCATGCTTACGTGCTCTCTGGATGGTGTCCTTCACTTACTCTATTCCTATCTCCCTGAAATTGTTGTTTTATTATTTTTGTGTGGCACATCTATTGGTACTCACATTGTACGAAGTTTTTGCTGAAATAAATAAATAACTGAATAATAAAACTGAGATAGCCTTGGGTTAGAAGACTGCCAGTCTTGTATTCTGGAGTAACTCGAAGACTACTGCCTCGAATCCTGTCGCTACCCAGATTGTTGTTACACATTCAAATAAATATCATCACCCATTAACTCAATAGCCGTCTGTATAATCCGAGACTATTCCAGAGAGTCCAACCATCAAAAATTCAGTTATATATGTCTGGATGAAGGAATTAAAGAGCCACATTTCCACCAGCTAAGGGGTATGTATGTGGAGTATGTGGTTATTGTCAGTAGGAGAACAGACAAACTAGGAAAAGTAATATACAATGGAGAAGAATTATTTATAATGCTAGTAATAGTAATGCATATATAGTTTGAAAAGTAACAATAATAATAATAATAATCTTAACACACTGAATATGGTTACTTACAGGGATAAATGTAGACACAGATTTTCCACACGATCCATTACAGGTTCCTAAAACAATAAATTTCAATTATATACAAAGGGAGAGATATTATCAACGATAAAATAAACCGGGATGGTAGATAGTGAAAACAGTAAACGAAAATCCTATGACATCATAAGGCAGAAGTGCGAAAGGGTAAAGTGAATGAGGAAATAGAATGCTTCAGCTAACATGAAGATTGGCTGCGAATAGATATATGTGTTACTGTAAACGATTTTGTATATATCATCAAATTACACATGAATAGTCTTGTAGACATCAACTAAGTAACTGAATCATTCTCTCATGAACTGTATAATGCCTTTTAGTGGCGCCTCCAAAGCCTCAGGATGGTCGGGGGTGGGTGCCTTGCGCTGCGGGTTGGCCACCCCTCCGCACACCTCTTGAAATGCTCCCACATGACCGGGCGTCGTACATAGCCTCTCCTGAGGAAGTCCTACTCACTGCCTTCACGTGGCGAAGGTGTTTTTCACCAAAGTGAGAGGGCAAAAGCGGATGCCTGTCGCTCTTCACCGGGTTGACTGTCCATTGGATGACAGTCTAGGGAGATGACTAAACCCTGATTTCAAACCTCCAACGACTGGCGTATGAAGCTCACTGGAGCTCACCGGCAGACGTATGGACAAAGGGCTTGTTGGATGTCCTGGATGTCTGGCCCCATTCAAAAAGGCGTATGAACCGAACTCCGGTCACCGGCTGCCAATGGATAGTGGACTCCCTATTCCACTCCTACTGCCTTGTAGGCCACACTTGGTTGTGTAAAGGCTAGAGCTGCACTCTCAAACAAAAAGCCGAGCGATTCTGGGGACATCACTCGTACCAAATTCCCATGAAACTTCATGAACTCTTGTTCATGAAGCCGGCTCATCCTCCCGTAGGAGATAGCCGAAGTAAAGTAAAGTAAGTAAGTGGCTTACATTATATCCTCCTGCATGAATCATAAATCTGTGGAACACTACGATTAATAATTCGTTTTACCAATATACTTCAGACAACAATACACCCTGTGCATGGAACTCTACCTCAATCGTGTAAATGTGGCCCACTGGCCTAAAGACTGGATTTTAATCAATAGGTCCCAGGGTTTGAATCCCAACATCACCTACTAAAGCCTAGCGGGAAACGGTTAGTATCATCAGTCTTCGTACACAACAAGTGTGGCATATAGTCTGATGTGTAAAAGATCTATTCAACGCAATTGAGTTTAAACAACAACCTCTACAGTAACATTAGGATAATTGATCGAATATTTCAGAACATCCATGAATGAACGTTCTAAAATTTTGTTTTTCCATTCTGCACATCCGTAACAAAATCTTCGCATTAGGAAATATAAGTACCAATCCCATGCAAGACTGTGATCTAGCTAGTTAACTATATATAACCTGTGAGGTCTTACAATACTACTAGACTACTGCAGTTGAAATGCGTTGGATTGAGATTTACTCTCGAGACTCGACAGTTAAGTCAACAAATCTTTCTTCCCACTAATACACTTAGAATCCATAAAAAATGGAAATCTATTTTGTAACTAAGCCAGCTGTGTTGATGTGCATTGAAAAATATGCATGGTGGTAAAATGGATGACATATAAAATATGTGCATTCAGTTAGAAACCACAAATAACACCTTTCTTTATATGAATTTAGGTAATATTTACGAAGTTAACTTACCTGACATACGATTTGAAAGTGAATCTGACGAATAGTTCTGGCTTATTGTAGATGAGTTAGTGGTTGACAACTCAATATATGATGACTGTGGATTGTCATTGCAAACACTGTTCAAGTTGTGATCAATCCCATTAGGAAAGGTTGCTTTCATTTGGCACTGATTAATATGCTGAATAAATTACATTAAAAAGAAAATCTAGTATAATCTCATGTCTAGGTGGTGACACCATCTCAGAAATATATATATATATAATTCATGTTCCGGTTGGGTGAAAGGATTTTGATTACAGCTTGAAACCACACAGTATTTTTTTTGGTACAAGTATGGGATTTTCAGCATGTGATATCGGTAGCCCAAATTTTGCAGGCCGACCATAGATATCAGGTGTGCGTCGGCAGGGTGTCGAACCCCGGACCATGTGAATGGTCGACGAGAGTCCTAACCGCTGTGTCACCGATGCAGAAAGGAAAATGTGAGAGGGGGCATATCCCCCTTTACTTGTTGAGCTGAGTAACCTAGGACAGGACCCTTTTATGTACCAGACTATGTGCTACGCTTATTGTATGCGGATTGATGTTATTAACTAGTTGCCCTAAAAATGAAGTAGTAGGTGTGGCTCTACAGGATTCGAACACGACACCTGCAGGTGCTGAAGCCATTGAGCCATGTATCCACATACATCCTTTATCAAGTAATTTATATCCTATGATAAATATAATTTGACCAACATTACAATTCAAATCATTATTTTGGTGGACTTAGAATATGAGGATGATATGGTCCTTGTGGGTGAAGACGCTGAAAAAATTCAGTCTGCTGAACACCTCGAGCAGCAATCTTCGAATGTTTGGCATGCGATTCGCTTCCTTTGTCAAATATAAGATGATGCTGCAGGACTGAACTACATTGACTCCTAGCTTAAAGATAGGGAGTGAAGTGGTGGCTGAGCGTGTTGACCGCATTACTTATTTGAGAAGTTGCATCAGTTACGACAGGCTTATTGCTAACGAAATCTCACCATGGATATAAAAGTTTCGTCTGAGATTTGTCAACTTAAGCCACCTCTGGAGTAGACGTGACATTAGACTGGCTATCGACCAAAAAATGTGTGTACTGCTCAGCAGTTCGTTCCGTCTTCATTTATGACTGAGACATTGCCATTGAAAGTAGGAGATAAGAAAAGGTTAGCTATGTTTGATCTTAGGTGTCTTAGTTCCGTCTCCCACGCCAAATGGTATATTAGGGTGAATTATATTGAAGTTAGGCATAGAGTGTTAGGCAAGGAGGAGAAACTTATCGATAAGGTTGAGAAGCTATATCAACTAAAATAGCTAGGATACGTGTTACGCATGCGTAGCCATTTACCGCCTTCCTCGACGGGTAATGTTAGCTGACATGAGATCAGGTGGGAAAAGAGCTAGTCGTCGTCAAACGAAAACATGAAGTCAGCCCATGAAATCTTTAACTGCTAGTTTGAGCGACATATGGGGACGTAGACTGCCTGGCTGAGGTCCTCGGGATGCTAATAGCCAATGAAGGCTGAAGGCAATTGGGTGATATGGCTGAAAATCATTCCCGTTGGTGCAGATACATTGACTCTCTGTGATACTATAGTTTTCCTATGTTACCATTCTTTCTCCCTTACATTTCTGCTTATTACAACTTTTCTACATCTTTTCTCTCTTTTGTCTTCCTTTGTGTTTTTTAAGAAGTGTGGCAACTCGTACTGTTGTACTTTTGTGCAAAGTCCTATTTTGAAGCCATTCAGTCATTATGTTGGCTAGTATGTATTAACTAAAAGCTTCAGGAATAAAATAATAATATTCATTGCATCATGCTAAACTTAATTATGCTGTGATTGTAATGAGGCAAACTTATTCAGATAGGCAATAATATTCCTAAAGCATTAAGCGTACAACACAGAATTGCAGCATAATAATGAGTGTATGGAATGCATGAAATATGGAATAGCAAACCAGATAATAAGTTATGTCTAATATGTAAAGCCTTGCTTAGCAAGCATACTTCGGATGGCATAACTGATCGATTGAGCATTGAATACCTTGCTTAGTAAACTAGAACTCTATAAGTATACGAGAAAGTATACAAAAAAAAACAGCATAAGTCATGCAATACACTTATTTATAAATAATAATAATGACTTACATCTTTTTGTACAGTATAGTCATACTCCTGAGAAGATTTACTCGAAGGTAGAGTAAGGGAAAACCTCAATCCTGATATGAAGTATTTCGCTTTTTCACTGCAGAAAGATATAGGAACAACATAGGAGAAAATGTCATATATATATATATATATATATATATATATATATATATATATAATCTGAATTAAATGTTTGTGCGTCGGGGATACAGCGGTAGAATGCTTGCCAACCACGCCTCATGTAGTTCGGGGTTCGATCCCCGGCCGATGCACTTCTTTACCTTACTAAGCCAGTAATAAGACTGGTGAAGAGTGAAGGTTGAGCATAAGACTAGTAACCCCATCCTGTAAAATAAATACCACTGCTAACGAAACTTCAAAGCTCTAGCTTGAAGCCCTATGTTCCACGAGGAACATAAAGGAATAAAAAAAATTAACTGTTTATGATTAGACTGATAAGAGATAAATAATACCAATACTTCTGTATTATAATTAATAAAGATGAAATGTTCACTTATATTTTTATGTATATAACATTCAATAGAGTATACTGACTTTCTGAGTAAGTTTCAACGTGGAACTGTGCACTGCTGCTGCTGCTAGATTCAACATAGAACTTGGCACCGAAGTGCAGCAGTTCGAGTTGCCACGTTCCAAAATAGCAAACAAAGGTAGAAAAGAAGATGAGTGGAGAGAATCAATAGAGTTTTGACAAGTATAAGAGTGAAACAGAATGAGTAATGGTAGAAAGGAATATGAAAGATTACAGAGACTGAATACATCTGCGTAAGCCATTGACAACGATTTTGAGCCATGTCACCTATTGTCTCCAGCCATTGATTCTTAGAGTCCCGAGGGCCCCAACCCGGAAGTATGCATCTCCCTACCTGACTCAGTTTAATTGTCAAGGATTTCATGGATTGATGCCATGTTTTTGTTTGGCCACCACTTACTCTTTTCCAACCTGCACCTATATCAGCTAGTAATGCCCGTCGGGGGAGACGATGGCTAGGCATGCGCAGCACGTGACCTAGCCATCTCAATCTATGTAACTTCATAGCCTCTTCGAGTGATTTTCCCTCTTTGCCCAACACTCTACGCCTAACGTCAACATTACTTATCTTATTATACCACATAACGTGAGAAAGAGATCGTAAACATCTGTGGTCAAAAACAGACAATCTCTTCATGTCTTCAACTCGTATTGGCCATGTTTCAGAGCCATAGAGAAGGACGGAGCGAACTGCTGAGCAGTATACACGTCCCTTGGTTGACAGCCGGATGTCACGCCTACGCCAGAGACGGTGTAAGTTAACGAAAGCGGCCCGGGCTTTCTGGATCCGTGCTGTGATTTCGTCACCAATCAATCCGTTGGTACTGATACAACTTCCCAAATAGGTGAAGTGGTCAACATGTTCTATCACTTCACTCCCTATCACTAAGCTAGGAGTTGACGTAGTCCAGTCCTGTAGCAGCATCTTACATTTCACAGGGGCGAATCGCATGCCAAACATACGAAGATTGCTGCTCAAGGTGTTCAGAAGACTCTGCGTTTTGTCAGCGTCCTCCCCTAACAGGACTATGTCGTCTGCGTATTCTAAGTCTATAAGACTATACCCTGGTAACAACAAGTCGATTCCTAAGTCGTTAAGTTCAGTTAAGGATACTTCCATTAGCACATCTATGATGAAGTTAAACAGAAAAGGGGAAAGTGGACATCCTTGACGGACACCACTGGTTGTTATCAATTCAGATGACAATTCCCCATAGGCCCTTACACATTGCACAGAAGTGAGTCAATCTAAGTTGCCACGTACCATGTAGCACATAAAGGTAGAAAGAATTGAAAAGAACTATAATGAGCAGAAAGTGTACGGAAGAAATCATAGTAACATGGAAAAGCATGAGGATTTAATGAATCTGGAATATTACAAACAGTGACTGCATCTGCGCCATTGAGAACGATTTTGAGCCATTTTGCCAACAGTTTCAAGACACTGGTTCCTAGAGTCGCAACGACTCCATCTAGATAGTTTACACCTGACTATTTGGCTTAAACCAATTATCAAACACTTCACGGATTGATGGCATGTTTCGATTTGACTACCTCTAACTTTTTCCCAACCTAGTTCTATATCCGCTAGCATTGTTCGATGAAGAAGGCGGTGGTTCGGCATGAACAACATGCGTCTTGTCTATCTCAATCGATGCAGCTTCACAACCTCATCGACTGGATCTCCTTATCCAGCTGACATTACGCTTAATCTCAATGTTACTCATCACCTGACGCGGGAGGAAGTAAGCAAACATATGTGATCAAAGACACACAGTGTCTTCAGGCCTTTCAATGGCCAGGTCTCACAACAAAGCATACATTTTCGATCTGTAACTAGGTACGTATAGTGTATGCCAGTTGATCGTAGCCTATCGATGACTGTCTGAACCTTGACAGATTGGATGAGGTTAGAAACTGTGGATCACAAGTTGGAAGTCAAATGCTTAATACTGCTGTACCACAACTCTACTGTTTTAACTCGATGAATAAAGGTGACAACTGAAACCATACACTGAATTAACATTTTTTATTTATCTTTATATACAAATCATGGGAAGTGTTTAAGTAAAAAAGCTATAAGAAATTTACTTTTATTTTAGGCGGACCAGTTTTACGTATACCTAAAGATTAATAATCGGTAGTTTCTTGAAAACGTAAACGAATTAACTTCCTAAAGACATTTCCAACTTCTATGTGCAATCACTGCTCATTTAAATTCTTCAGTATGCTTTTAATACACTGGTTTTCATGAGAACCGGACACAACCACCCTGACCTTTGGCAAGAACAGAGTGGTGTACAGTCTCACCGTGAGAAAGTGACTCCGGTGGAACTGGGGCTTACAAGTCTAGGCACTCAAATTATAACCACTCGAAAATAAAGGAAAGGCTTCTTTGTCAAGCTGTCAAAGAAGAGAAACTTAAGCCTGGCTCGCATATTCGAAGGTTTTCCACCTGCCAGCGTTCGGAAAGCCAGTAAGTACCATTAATCCTCACACAACAGGTGTGGTTTATTCCCAAATGCATCATCTATTCCTAGCAAGCACCATCTTCTAACAAAAGATCTTGTCTAACTTGATGACGATTGAGACGTATACAATTTCGTTTTTAATTCATCGGCGAAGGGGTTAAAGTATGAGATTATTGCACCTCCTAGAATACCCGTGTATACACTGAGGCAATAACTATCATCATGTTACCAACAGCATAGAAAGCTATTATGCATTAGGAACAAATCTTCCCCGGGGTCATGACAGCAAGATTCAACTCAAAGGTAGGGAATTTATACTCATCAAGTGCTACGCTCCTATAAACAACGCAGACGCAATCTATAGGAACTTCTAGCGCCAAGTGCAAACAGTAATGAACGAGGCCCAAGCTGGATGGCGACATTAAAATTCTAATGGGAGATATGAAACAAATGGGGAGCAGACAATAGAGGAAGAGAACTCATTATGTGTCGAAAGTCGCTTGATGAAATTATTGGGAATGGAAAAGGCTTTGAAGACTTCTACGGGATTACTGGTTTGGAGAATGGAGGCAGCTTATACGAGCACAAGGATATACAAACGTTTCACCAGACGAACACAACAAAAATAAGATTTGAACTCCATCTCAAGAAAGTAGAGAAGCAGGCTTTTGGAAACAATATCCAGAAGCTAATCAGATGTAGGCTTAGATCACTATCCAGTGCGAGGGGCCCTTAAGGAAAAGTTGAAGGTCTTCAAGGACGTTTGAGAACAAACCTCAAGTTCATTAACCAGAAACTGTAAGGGGAAGTCAAAAAGGACACCTTTACTGAAGTCATGTGGAAAGCGTCGGAGGCACTAAACAAAATCTCCGTGGACACTTCTGTGTAAGAAGAGTGGATTTTTCTGAAAGTGATGTGGAAGGAAACTCTCATGGCCGCCTTAGCAAGGAAAGGAATGGCTCTCTACGGACACCTGAAAGCTAACAGAAGAGCGGAGGATGGTGAAACAGAAGTTGGATCAGTACAGAGATGAACAACAAAAGTTGAGTCCAATCTACTTCTAGGAAAGACGATTTTATGACACACTGGTAACTGAAGCAGGACAGGTTGCAAGTAAGAGAGACTTAAGAACACCAGCAGATAACCAGGTCGATATCGGGCAAGAGATCAACAAACATCAAGTGAAAGATAATGGAGTATACTTTATTATGAGAGGTGGAACAAAGAAATCTTTGGGCCAATCACTTCAAAGGACTCCTGAATCGACCACCACCTGCAACTCGACCAGAAATATCAACATCAGACACAAAACCGCCACTGAACGCCAATACAAAGGCAGATATTTTGAAGACCACATAGTGACTAAGAGCTGGGAAAGCAGCAGGAATAGGGTGAGTCCCGGTAGAAGTGCTGAATACTGACATGCTGACACCACTAGCGCCTGAAGATGTGGAAGAAACTAAAGGTAACTACCGACTGGAAGAAAGGCTATCTTGTCAAACTGTTAGGGAAGGGAGACTTAAGACAAGGAATCATGCTTCTTACCACCAACTCTCACCAACACCTTTCCCCTTCACTCTGCACCGAAGTTCAGATCAGATGACCACTAGAAAAACATAAGTAAGAAGATATTCTGACAGGAGGAGAACGAGTCAACAAGCTATTTATTACCAGACATATATGAAGAAGGTAATGGAGGTGGATTGTACAAATACTAAAGAAGCGTAAAAGTGACATCACACTCCAGGCCATCGAGTGGGACGCGAATGGGTATCAACGAGTTTGGCTTCCGAAAGTGACATGGGGAAAGTAATGTGAGAAGGAAATGAAAGCTTGTAGGCAGTCGTGGAGACAGTTTAAAGTGAAGGTACGGGACCAAGTGCAGTAGAGATACATCATAGAGGCCTTATGTTTCACCTGGAATAAATGATAGTAAGTTTGAGAATCCTGCAGTCTGTGCCTCCCCAAATGGCTCAAACCAAGAGAATTCATGTATGACACGTGTCCTAGTCAGTTTAATTGATGAAGCTCTTCTGGCTGTTTGCATGACTTTTCCTCCTTATTAAACCTTACTAGTTACCTTAAAATCTAAAACTTAGCTTCATAATGTCAGGAAATTGACTGAAGACACCGATGATCCAAAACCGCTAATCTCTTCTTATCTTCCAATTTCAGTAATTAAGTGTAACAGAGAGAGCTGCTCTACGGAAGACGCATCCTTAAATGAGTATCACACCTGATATAAGTGAGGATGTGCCAAATAAGTTTTATAAATTTAAGCCGATATTTTGTCAGCAACCAATTCATAATGACTTATGAAACTCCAGAGACAAATGACGTGTATAACATACTTAACCAAGGAGTCTATGCAGACCATTCCTTTACCAGGCTATGAGCCACATAAATCAACTTATTGATATCCACATCCAGGTTAGCTTTAGTGTACACTTTTATTTCATTATTGGCTATTGAGTTTTGAATTGTCATGAAGCTACACTTGACTAGGCAAATGATTTCAAAAACCGTCGTACTTGTACCCACCCAGTTAGCTTAGTATATAGTGAACCAATTCGCAGGCGAATCTAGGACTATATATAAGGATTCTGCGGGTTTTCAGGAAATCATAGAGAGACAAACAAATCAACATGTATGCATCAGTTTAGCAACATACAGACTGGTTAAAAATGGTGACACTACCATGAACGTATGTGACAGATGGAAGTATAACTGAACATTGATTAACTAGAATCTTTAGTGTCTTTTCAAGACAGCAAAGAAAATGTTTGTGATGGAAGCCGATTTTGGGCGATATCTAGAATTAACTTTTGAGAACTAAAGCAGAGTATGCAAAAGATCTTTTCCTTTCACTGACTCAAACGAGTAGCCAGGGATGTTAGGTGCTTTGTTTGGCCTATCTTTCAGCTGACCACCCAACCGAAACCTGCTACCTAAACGAGGTGGTTGGACTTGCATTTCCCCATGACCCAACAAGCTGGAACTAATATTCTCGCAGGTCCTACCATACCAGAAAGGCTGCTTGAGTAGAGATTAGACTGAAAGCAGTTATAATCACACTGCAAGTTCCTTACACTATGTTGGGGGTGTGGTCTGTGAGTGAATTTGCACTGCTGGGGAATAGGGATGTAACAACAGTAAGGTTTCATTCTTAGTTGACCAGCAAGCCACCTATCCTGCTTCTTCACTCTGGAGATGGGGGAAGAGGTTGGAAAAGACTGACCCCAAAGATTGTACATCCCGACCTACCTTGCGGCGGTAAGATCCTAAAAAAGACGCAACTCCAAAAACCAATTCAAACAGGTCGTGTGCGACCGGACGCAAACAGTTATCCCCTGGGCTCTGTGGTCAGGCACTACTGACCCTCTTTCTGTTTCAGATGCCACAAGAAAAAATCAACTCCCAAGGTGTGGGCAGCCGGGAAGTAACAACCGAGCACACTTTCGAAGGTGCATAAAACTTTCCTGATCTTCGCCCACCTTTGTCTATGTCATCATCTACCATTACTCCATAATTAAGTCCCTTATCTTCTTTTAGCTCTGTGACCACTAAAAGTCTCTTAAGACCGTTTACCATAGCACGCAACAGGCATCATTAGCCAGAACTCTAGCATCTCAAGCCATGGATGTATGTTGAGTTTTGAAGACTCATACAGGACCCAGGTATGGTTAACCACTTAATTCCACCAGGCCAACTGGGTGAATCCGTAAAATTCATCTTGTGCGTGTCAAGATTTTTTGGCTAGTTCACGTGGACTTGCCAGTATAGGGATAGCATAGGGTGCTATGACGGAAAAATCCTTACTCGACTGGGTCCCGGTAGATAGTCATCTGTGTGCTGTCCCGCTGGACGGATTTAATAGAGGGAAAGACTGTGATACCCGTCTGTTTCCCCTCAAATCGCCACTTACGCCCCCGACAGACTGCAGTCCGGGCGGTGTAAATGATGGGTTATATCAAATGCTGTCTAGTACGCTACTAAAAGCGAAAAGCTCAGATATAATCGTTTTAGCAAGCAACTTCAATGCTCAGATACTGAAGCTGTGCCATTTTGAGAAGTATATTGGCAGTACCTACGGAGTTCCTTGCCACCGAAATGAAAACGATGATCGTCTTCTACGGTTCTGTTCTTGGTTAACCCTGACTTCGAACACAAGGAGTTTGACCTGGTGACCTCCATGATCGATTAAACGATATTTAAATAGATTACGGAGTGATAGGCTATCGATGGATGGGGTCCGTAAAAGACAGTCACCCCTTGTGGAACACCTACGTAGATTTCTATCACACTCTGGTCCGTGCACGTATACACTTGCGATTGAACGGGCACAAAAGCAGAGAGCAAAATCCCCAACTTCATGAGAACACTAAGTTTCTATTCGAAGAAATAACTAAACGTGTATTTGAGAATGACAATAAGAGTCATCCTGAGGAAATTTGGCATGATAATCAGTTAGCTGAAGGGACAGTGGTAAAGGCTGTTCATAATCTAATACCAAAGACTAGTGGAGTTCCGTCGCTTCATCTCAACGGATAGACGCAAGAAGACTGATTCCCGCGGGCCCCGAACATGATGAGAAGTGAAAGGTGTTCAAACTAACCAAAAGTCTTCGCAATGGCCACGAAGAGCACTGAGCGACAAAAGCGAAGGAGATGGAAAGGGCGTCAGCGATAGGCAACACCAAAGAACTATTTAAGTCTATTAGGGAAACAGGTTATTAAAAGTAAGTGATAAGTAAGACAATCTTTGAGAAGTGATGCCCTAAATAGCTCATGATAGACGGCTGGGACGTCGGAGAGAGCATTTTGAGGAGCAATTTAACTGGTTTACAGCCACACTCAACTTTTCTACTATCCAACGCCCACCTGAATAGGATGTAGACATCGGTCTTCCATCTGTGAGGTCACAAAAAGCTACCTCTCATCTAGAACGAGGCAAAGAAGCAGGATCCGATGAAATGACTCTAGAAATGTCTAAGGACAGTGGTGACAAATTGTTGTCCGGATAATGTTTGGAAACCAGACATAATTCCGTTAGACTGATGTAAGCCAATGATTACCCCCAGTTTATGAGAAGGGAAACAAGTCTACTTGTGAATCATAGGGTTAATAAGCTTGACTAATATAGTATCTTAAGTTCTAATATCAATAATCATGCGCAAACCAAGGAGTGCCTGGAAGAAACAAACCCAGGAAAACTAGGCAAGCCTCAGACCAGGGAGAGGATGTATTGATTAAATCTTCATAGACTCAAGAACATAGACATACTCACCGGCGTCCGTAAATTGCCACATTCCTAAACCTGAAGGCGCCATGAGACTCTACCAACCAAAATGCCTTGTTTGGTGGCGGAGTGCCGAGAAAGTACATTGCACTAATCACGGTGTACCACTAGAATTCACTTTTCAAAATAGTTGATTATAATCAAAATTGATGTGTGTAGTGCACAGACGTTTGCTTTGTCCTACTTTACGGCTGAGATAAGGCCATTGAAATCGAAGGTATGAAAAGGCTAGTTGTCTTCGACCACAGATGTTTGCGTCTCACCTCTCGAGTAAAGTGGTATAATATGATGAGAAATATTTAGGCTAGGCAAGGGTAAGCCAATCGATAAGGCTGTGAAAGTATATAGATTGAGATGGCTAGGACACGTGTTGCAGATGACGAGCGAGGTAAGCTGACAGAATTAAGTTGCAAAAGTGTTAGGGTTGTTGGTCAGGTCGAGAAGTGGCATGAATCCATGAAGTCTTTGGCAGTCGGTTTGAGCCACGTAAGGAGGAAAAGAGTGCCTGGTTGGCTAGGGTCCTTGGGATTCTGATAACCTATGGCTTGAGTCTCTCGGTGGTATGGCTGAAAATCGTCCTCAATAGCGCAGATACATTCATTCTTTGTGTTCTCCCATATCCACTTAAGTGTCATGCTTTTCTGTTACTAATCTTTCTCGCATTTCTGCTTATTATAGTCCCCCGAACTTTCTTTTTCTCTTTTGTCTACCTTAGTAAGCTATATGGAATTTGGCAACCTGAACTGCTGCACTTCTGTGCAAAATTCTATATTGGAACTCAGTCATTCCAGCTAACACACATACATACACATAGCATGCAAAAATTATGCTAAAATATTAGCTGAAGGAATGACTCTATTGTTTACATCATAATGAGAAGTATTAAATAGGCATGTGGGAAATCTAATAACGTAAGCTCTGTTATGAGAGAAATATCATAAACCGACACTACTTGATAACAATAATGACTTACACATCTTCACTTGTAACTTTGAAACCATCAAACATATGTAGGTTCGGTAACCATCCTAGGACAAACATTTTGTGGTCGTATGCACTTTAAGGATTATGTCAAGTGGAATTAGCGACAAAACAAAAATGAAAGGGTATTCAACTAACACACTGCAAAGGATACGTTGATTCTGCACAAGGATTATTCCTCAGGGAAAACTGCATAAGCATAGTGAGGCACGACAGCTCTTGCACCTGTGAAGTTACATTTTATGCATAACCTTACCTCCAAAATATTTGAAATCACATTACTAGCCAGAGATATGATTTCAAGTGATTTCGGCAATACTTTTGATGCATTTTGAATGGTAGTAATATGATTGCAGTGTAGGAGAAGTGTCTGATAATATTCATTAGTAATTTGCTAAGTACTTTTAGTTTCACTAAGAATGATAAATCGCTTAGCTCAGAAATGTAGTTATCAGATAAATCAAGATGCTTCAAGTTTGTATTCTTCTCTAATTGTTCAATGACCTAAGAAGACAACTCGTGACTCGGTCCACACTCACTTTAATTTTATTTCCTGACAAGTTGAGCCACCTTAAACGAGTAAGCCTGATTAAACCTGAAAGTAAGTAAGTGACAGGTATACAAATTCAAGTACCATCAATGGAGACGATTCCATTGTTTGGTAGATTTAAGATAGTCAGATTCACTAAATGTGCAACTCCATGCATTTGTAAAATTCTGTTATTAGCCGCTGAAAGCTGTCGGGATTATTTGGATTTAACTAACGAACCTGTTGTAAATCACACACACTGGATAAGTTTTCAAGGCGGCGGATATAATTTTGGTCTAAGATAAGGATATTTATATCATTTGGCACTTCTTCAATATTTTCCAAGGCACAGTTAGAAAGGTTAAGAGTAATCTCCCCATGAGGCCCAAGAGATCGAGACGTATCCCAAATCCTCTGTTTCAGCATGATAAATTTTAAAATCCCGTCGGCAACAAGGTCAGCCAAACAATAAGATGCATAACATGTTTACGCGGGCAAGGAGCAAAGGTCAGTCAGCTGATTGGTGCGAAAATCAGCTGACTTAATTCAGTTGTTTTAAGCTATTTACTCGTTGTTTAAAAAAAAATTTTTTTTGATAAGAAGGCCATTAGTTTATCGATACTTTATGGGCAGAAATTAAACGCCATGTACAAGGTCATTGATGGAGTGAGACGCTCCAAGGTCATTTTCGTCCATGTTAGTCGGCCATGTTGGATTGCAGTTCCGTTGCTGTTCGTTTACACATCGATTTTTCCGTTTATCCAGCACTTATTCACCACGTATCTTGATGCACATTGTTTACAAATGTTGCGTTTCACCTCATTATTGTTTCCGTTTCTGTTAAAATTAGTTATTTCGTTCGTTTCGAAAGTTTTTACCAGCAGGTCAGTGCATTCATTTCATTGTAATTGTTTCATATGTTGCATTCATACATAGTTTCAGGTTTTTAGTTGTTTTTCCGCTAATACTGAACTAGTACTGTCTAGAAGTTTTGGAAATTATGCGCATGAGCATGTTTGGATGGCGGAAGCGGTTGTTTCCAGTTCATTCGTTGGTTGCCGTTATTGTTGCTGGCTCAGTTGCTTACTTAACATGTAGAAATCTGGAAAAAACAATGTCTGTCACATTCATGTTTACAGCATGCAGCAATATACGAGTCAGTCTGATGAGGAGAATACAATCAGAGTTGATATTAGCAAAGTTTTCGAAGAGCAAATTAAACCTGAAGAATTTAGAACCTGGGATGACGTTGAAAAAGCTTTGAAGCTTTTTGAGAAGGTAAGCACAGTATCAGTGTGTCTATTATCAGTTAACAAACACCCGGTATATTGTGAAAGAATCGAAATTAAATAAGGATGAGCCACATGTGAAGTATGACTATGCGGTGTATGTATGTACTTTTGGATACAAAAGGAAATCCGTAAGCAATCACATCCGCCTTAGAGGGTAAGTTTCCTGTGGTTATTAATGTCTTACGGAGTAGATCTAAATACTGTGGTTGCCCATCAATGATACGAATCCGATATCATTGCAATGAATTCATTATACCATCTGTATATATGATTCATAATCACTATTGCACTCGTGATTATTTAATGAAGGATGCTAGAGCACGCAAATTAGATGAGTCTGAACTTTCTATAGTTAAGCCGATGCTGTCTGTTTCATCCGATCCTGAAAAGGTTATTGATTACGTTGCAGAACGATTCCAAAAAAGGATGACGTACAATGATCTACGAAATATAAGAGCTACTGTAGTTGAAGGTGAGACTTTGATGTACAAGAATAACCTTTCAGATTGTGATTTACAGTCAGTGGTTTTTTCCAGATTACACCAAGCTGGCAAATTGGTTATAATTCGGGGTGAAAACGATGGAAGAATAAAAATAGCATGTTTTAGTTCAAATAGGCAAATCGAAATTTACCACAAATTCCCTGAGGTCGTGAGTTTTGATTCCACCTACAACACTAATAGAGGAAAGTAGGTGTAAATGTTTTCTACATCAAATATTTGAAGCTATAAACTGTTTCAATTTGTTGTTACAGACTCTCATGGAAAAGGTCTGCCGGTTATGTTTGCATGGAGTAGGCAGGAAAGGCTGGATGATTTAACAACGATTCTGGATAAATTTAAATGTGTGATGGGTACGACTTCCAACACAGAAACGTTTGTCATGGATTGCGCAAAAGCATTGAGAGGTGCCGTTGAGACAACGCATCCACTTTGCAATATAATATTGTGTGCATTCCATGTTTCTCGTGCAATGCGTAAAAAGGTAAGTTTTGTAAATTTCAAAGATTTTGTAGACAAAAAGTAGGCTTGTTAGGCAGTACCTGTCGAGTATGATTCGCGAGGAATCAATTCATGGGTAAATTTTTGAAACTGATCATAAATTTATTTACAGATTCTACACATACCTCGGTCTCATACGGCATCTGGATCCCCGTTTTGCGAGGTATGTACACAGACACTGGCTGCCTTTGAAGAAACTTTGGGCAGCAGCATTCAACCGTAGTGTTTTGTCACTTGGCAATAACACTAACAATCGTGTTGAAAGTTTACACAGGTGGATGAAACGGAATTTATCAAGAAGTATTACACTACATAAATGTATGTGGGAGGTGTACCGCTGGAGTGACAGGAGGTTGCGGAGGATTGATGGCGAACGAGATGTGAACATAAGAGTGCTAGACAACAGGATACCTGGTTTGCAACCCTTACTGTCAAAATTAACAGAGTATGCCGGGAAAAAGGTTATTGCAGATTTCAGAAGAGTAAGAAGAGCCCGCATTGAAAACCGTATTTCCCACAACGTATTTTTCGTCGACGGATTCACACACCCAATAGTTGATATGGCTAGAGGTACATGTACTTGCAGTGTGTTCACCACCTGCAAGTATCCTTGTCGTCATATGGTAATCGCTCATCTGACTTATCCCCATTTTGAAGGTAAGTGAGACGCACATTGATCTTACAATACAGTTGATCGCGTTCTGAGGAATTGTCGACGATGGATGCTCGCTAACAGAAATCCACTACCCGTATTAAATGCTGCACCGGTAACACGAAACAGTGACATCGAAAACTATCAAAAGTTGAAGCGGAAGTTTTGTAGGTTTCTTGACGAACGGGTAAATGCAGGTTATGTGGAAAAAGCAACTGCCTATTTATTGTCTTCGTATAACCGGTTAAAGGAAGGAAAGGAGGATGTATGAGACATCAGTGAGAACGTGGAATGGCCCTCTTTAGGGCCACCAAATACTGATTTCATTGAATTCATCAGTTTTACTTTAAATTATGAAATCGGATAAGTAGGGTAGGAAGAAATTAATCCGCAATGTCAGTAATGATTGTGAAGATGGTTTCCGAGTAATTATGAATAGTGAATCTGTTGTGGAGATAGGATATACATTTTTTACCGAAAAAATCATCTGAATGTCCTATCTAACCTTATAATTCTAAGACAGTGTTAAGTTGGTTAATAAGGTTGTAGCTGTAGGAGATCATGCAAATAAGGTTGCATCTGACTATGAATGACTTGTTGGCTTTGTACTGGGTAACTTCTACACCCAAGAAGCACGATTATATATATATATATATTTATAATATATATATATAGAACATGTATCCGCCCCAAACTTGAATATTGTGCACTCGTGTATAGTAGCCTAAGGTCTGCAGACTGAAAAAAAATCGAAGGTGTTCAGAGAATCCTAAGAATATCCTCAGGTATCGATGTATCTGGTGACCTAATGGGTTCCAACTTTCCAGATCTCCGAATTCACTACTCACTTAATTATCATTTACCTACCTCAGAATAATGTATTTGTTTACGCACTGTTATACTCTATGTTAACTACCTATGCCATTATTAAAGCTAAAACTTTCTCTTTGTTCAGAAGAAAACGAAACGAAGTTTGGGTTGTCGCTCAACTTTGACGGTGACCTTAATGGAGGGTTCACAATTTGACATTTATAAGAACCTGTTCTGATTGAACAATTCAAACATTTGAAAAAGTGTAAATTAATGATACTTACGGATTGTAATTTATAACATAACTGATCGTGCCTGTGAAAGTGGCATGCATTTCTTGTAAACATATCCGTTTCTACGAAATATAAATTATTATTATTATTATCCCCATGAATGGTATTGAGACGATTAGGTAGCAAAGTCGAATGTTTTGCTATTGAGAATCGTAGTCGTTGTGTTTCAGATTCATATCGCGAATCCGATTGTTAGAACCCTATGGATAAAGCTTTTTCCTCATTATGATATATACAAACCGTAAGCAAGCTGTCTTCGGCAAATTTATTTTTACTTTTTAAGTGACAGAAAACAGTGAGTCATATGAAGCGATAGGATAAATACCTCTAAACGCTTTCGCGAAGAGATTAGGATATGTTCATTTTTCCGACTGGGAGACGATCTTTTTACCCAGAAAACTCTCAGGATGTCCGCTTTTACTTTTTAATTCAAATATAACGTTGAGTTCCTCACTTAGGTAGTAGCAACAGGAGATTACCTTCAGGGGGAACTACGTTAAGGTAGCTTTAGATAATGCCTCATAGAAGTCAGCAGTGTATGTTTATTGTGTCTAAATATATTGAACGTTGTAAAGCTCGTCTAATCGTAGTTCTCACATATGAGTTAGTTTTTTAAATAACGAGTGTACCGTACTAGCGTTTACCTTGATTTGCATACCTAGCTCATAAACATTATGCATGCGTATAGTATGCACTTAAGGCTAAGACGCTGTGTGATGAATTGATCGTAGATACTTAACGTCAGACTTGTTTTCTGTACCACTCTCATCAATTCTGCACCGGTCATAGGAATCAACATCGGAAATTGACAGTCTGACATTTGGAAGGATTTAGTTTAAAAGCATTTTCTGACTCCTGATAGAGAGCTGTTCATTTTAGTACAGTGTAGATGCGAATTAAATGACACTAGAATAGTTAGTACGCGCACTTGACATATTTCATTTCGTATGCATATGTACATTAAGTTCGTCATACAAATATACAATTGGTAGTGGACGACTATAATGGAGAAAATGTTGTGATGCAAGACTGCAGGTGCATCCAAAGTACCTCTACTGTGTTTATACGCGAATTATTTGAGATCGTTAAAGTATTTAAGTGAAGGTTGACGATTAAGTAAGAGTAACTTTTCTACCTGCATATTAACAGATTAGTGAAGTAGCTATCCAGCCTAAGTTATTACATTTACTTGTACTTCATACTTGGCGTTTAACAGTATGCAGACTTGCAATTGGCTAGATAAGGCGAATTTAGCGTATCGAACAGTAAAGAATCATTATTCAACTTCCTAAATCCTACTTAGTTTTTACAATGTGCTAATGTAAAGAAACAAACACGAAATCTTACGAAGGGCTAAAGAAAGTCTCATAATACTATAGTAAATCTCCATCCCACTAACTAAGCTTAACATGCATTGATCCGAATTCACTTATTACAAAAGCACATAGTACTGCGATGCACTGGAAAAGTCTACATGAAGTAGAATTGAAGAGTATATTAAATATTTCATTAATTTACAAAAGAAAATCCCGATGAAGAGTATTAACGTTAGTTTGACCGAATGATATTTCCTCTGGTTTCATATTCCACAACTTCCGTATACCTGAAAAAAAATAGAGCACATGTAAGGACTAGCGTAACATGAAGTTATGAAAGATATTTCTACATATTATCACACACTATGAATACACTGATTCTGTTATTACTAGGTAATATCTCATGCAAATGAAAGCATTTGAAGTCCACAGCTGGTTTTTACGTTGACGCCGTTTCGATAAATAGACCTCATATGTTTACCAGTATTAAAGGATTATACGCAAATATCAAGACAATCTTTGAAGCTTCCATACTGTTGAGGCGTCATACTCTCATTAACCTTAGTGGCAGATCAACTTCACACTGAATACGTTTACATTAAATGAAGTATTGCAAGTGTGTAACTTAGAAATTGATCCATAATCTCAGTAATGTCTAATGAGCATAGTTTTATGAATCCTACAGAAATTACATTCTCATATTCAGGAATCTATAGCCATCAAATATAAGCTGAACATGCTTCAACTCTAAGCAACTGTGCACAGTGTTGATGAGGATAACAATGACATATAATGCAACCTAGACATTCGATCGTGACACTGCATCTCTACTGCTTCATGTTAATGGAAAATTCAGGAAGAATTCATCACCACTACTGGTGATCAAAAACAGTGCAGCATTAAGTTTACAGTGCCAGTGAGAATGGCATCACAGACAGTAGATTGATAGTAATAGAGCTGACTAGATTCAGTTCTCATAATCGACACAATCCATGTGTATAATGATACTATACACTGAATTAATGCACTAAGTGGCACAGTAAGGAAATTTAAACGAGTGATTGCCTTCTCCACTGCACTGCACTTACAATAATCATGACAACCACCTACGTTTGCCAGCCAAGCAGTCAGCTTAGCAATGGCACAATATAAATAAAGTTGAGGTATTTTTTATACATTGAGTCCACATAACTCATATTACACTACACTAAACAGTGCAAATATACATGAAATCCACTTAGAAATAACCTCTCAACTTACGATAATTCCTGTCCAAACACACACGGTGCGACACATCTACATGATTACTTCTATTCCCACAGAAGGTTCTGTTAGCATTTACAGGTGATTTCGAAGTACTGATAGAATTCTTTTGTCAAAAAGGACTGTTCTTCACACGAAAATAGGCTGAATTAATATCCTGAAACGTGAAGTCTCCATTGAATGATACCATGACGAAAGGTGCAGCATCTAAATAAAGTAGACTATTTGTGTAGATGAAATTACCCTTCAACTATCCTATCTTTCTCACTATAGCGATATTTTGCTACATTTCGCCTGTAACACTGATCGTTGCAACCAATATGCTAGGGGGTGTCGCAGTCAGATTACATGACGCGGACACCAAAATAACAGGCCAGAAAATGGGAATTCTCATCAATCCAGATAACATATAACGCAATTTCATTAAAAATTATTGACAAAAAAAAATTCCAAGGGAAATTTTAACAGCGCTACATGAACATGGCATTTAACGTCTACCTACTTTATGGTAGCGTTTGACTTATTCATGATCGAACGTTGTGTCATAGACGTGAACTTGGAAGCGTTGAGAATGTCAGTAAGTCCCCTCAAGTCATAGAAGATCCCGCTGAAATTGTTAGTCACCTAAATATCAGTGAACTATCTGCAACAGATGTACAGGAGGCTAAAGTGCGTTAATAATTTTCTCTTTCTGATAGACAGAACAACTATCGAATTAGATATGTTAATACAAACGTCAACACCAGCATCAGCTACCAATCCATCCCCTAGCTACTTGACTGCCAACATTACGCAAATGGACAGGCTTGCAGATAAATATGGTGTTTCTAATGGTTGCTCAGATTGTTAATACACGCAAAACGAAAGCGTTTAATGCCATCACCTCAGATATCTTTTCATAAACCTACTCTAATGGGATGTTCACCGGTGAAATTTACACCACTAACATGTGTAACCACAACTGAATGTCTTAGGATGTCTTTGGACCACAACTCGCCTGCTGCCATTACTAGTCGTGTGCACTGTGCCCTTTCATCAAATAACATTTCAAGCATCTCAACACATATATCACAACAAATTTCAAAGCTGGTTGGTTCACGCTTTGTCTCAAGAAGCCGGGTGCTGCGGAGTGAAGGTTGCATTCTGCTTCCACCTCATGGCGTAAGGACTGAGATATCACCACCCACCCATCATCCGCCATTCTCTTGCCAAGTCAAAGTTCCATAAGTTTTCAAACCTGATCCATCCTTCTGCTAGAGTAGCTCCATTAGTATTCATCTGCAGAACATTAGTATGGGTAGGATCCAGCATTTAACAGCAGACATGTACTAACGGATCTTGTTTCAAAGTATTACTTCGTATACAGTCTGATGTAACTCAGCTACCTCTTTTGGTCTAAATAAAATTTATGCAAGCAAAATTTCTTTTCCTGTGAATTGTGAGGTCATGTATTCCTACTATGGTTTGCAAAACGTCAACTACAATAGTTTTTCGCGTAGCTGTCTTCAGCCACTTTAGAGACTTTTGATCACTTCTACTTGATAGGATATATGTGTATGTATCACCGACACTAATACTAGACATCCTCAGTGTGTTGGAACACGACTGGCATACTTGACAACCATCAACCATCTGCCCAGTAGTTTTAATGTCACTTGCCGGTAGTCCAAAAGCTGTTTATTCCAGTCGAATATCTTCCGCAAGTGTTCTGACCAAACAAACAAACTCTGTCTCATCTAGCAGTCTACACAGTGCTGGTAGTTGAGTTTTGTCACAAACGGACTACAGCAAGGCGTACTTCCCAGGAACTGTCACAGCTTACTATTCGAAGTCAGGGCTTTAGTGGATTTTATCGTCAACCCTTTCTAGAGCAAGGACTCCCTCTCGGATTTTTTCGCTTTATGACCAAGCAGTGTAACATTCCCTTACCTATCTGGGGTTTGAACTTGATGATGTGCAATCGGATTTATTCAGCCTATGTAAAAACATTGTACGTGAATCACTTGGTCCTGTTACGCATGACTAAATGTGACGGGGTCATCACCATATGCCTCTGTGTTCATCTAGATTTATGAAACAGTGTCATCAGTCGTCCAAATATAAAATGTTCGCCTGTGGACTCGAGCGACATACGTCTGAACCGTCTCATACTGAACATTCAATCGGTATCTGCCAGTGACTCTATTGGAAGTTCGGAACAGCGGATTGACGAAAATCATGCAAGTGGTCCAAGGTTTCCACTAGATTCGTCATAGAACATTGTCTGGATTCCACAATGCCATTCAGATCTTGGAAATTGATGCAAAATGTATATTTTCCTTTGGGTTTCTTCACCAACAAGATTTAATGGACGTACCGACTGTCAGCTTCTCCGATTATCTCCCTAATCAACACTAAATTTTTCTGTGACGTACTCAGACCGGCAGTGTAATGCATTTGAGGTGAATTACATCCGCTGCACTCCTACCAGGAAGTGTCTCCTGATACTCATA